TGGTCATCCTGCTGCCCACCAGGACCCGCAGGTCCCTTTCCCCAACTCTCCAACAGCTCTGTCCCCAGTCTGTGCTGGGACATGGGGATGTACTTTCCCAGATGCGAGACTCGACACTTGCCCTGGTTGTAGCTCATTGAGTTTCTCCCTGCCCAGCTCCACCTGTCCGCGTCTCCCTGGTGGAGAGAGTCAGTTTTGAGCGTGAACTGTGGCATGTTTGGGTCAGAGCAGGGCGGCCCAGCACCCCAGAGCACACCCTCGCTTGGTGTGGAAGGCAGGAAGCTTGTGGTGGCCTCACCTCTGGCGCAGAACCGTGCGCAAGGAGCTGCAGCACCGGCCGCGGTCCTTTTTCTGGGCCATGAGGCAACGGAAAGTTTGGGCTGGAACTGTCCGGTCCCTTGGAAGTGAGACCTGAGGCCCGTTTTAAGTGTTGCGACACCTAAAGCACCGCTGGAGGCTGGGCCTGTGCTGCGTGGGAAGCTGCCCGGGAGGGAAGTCCGGCATTGCCGTGTGCCTGGAGCCCGGGGTTGCTGGGGAACCGCGGCGCCGCGCTGCGCTCGCGGGGTTTGCGAAAGCCGGGGCTTTGGGCCCAGCAGGGCTCTCTGTGCAGCGGCGGGGGCTGCAGGAACCCGAGGGGCAGCAGCTGGAGCCCTGCGCGTCAGGAGAGGCTGCTGCATCGGGCAGAGAGCGAGGGGGACAAGCGTTCCCTGAGAATTCAGATTCGCCCAGGAATCCAGGAATCCCTCTGAATTACTCATGTTAGAGTCAAGTTGCTTCTTTTTCTGCCCATCTAATTTCCTCTTTTTTCACTTAGATTCGACTTAGCTAATGAAGTCATGCCAAATTACACTGCTGTGTGGATTACGAGAGGTTTTTGTAGGTGCCAACGCTGAAGTAACAGCGTCGGACTCCGTTTGTCAGGATCCTGTTACGTTCCTCCGTTCCTTTGAGATGTATTTTGTGGGGGCTTCCCCTGTGGCTTGTCGTAGCAGAAACCTGTGGGTCTTTTTAGAAACAAATCCTCAAAGTATTCAGCGTAGTCATGTGTGTGTTGCCTACAGTCAAACACGGCACAGCCAGAGGCTAAAGTGATTTAGTTTTTATTTGCACGCTCAATGTGCGTTAACGAATCCAACATACAAGGTAGCATTACATAATGTAGATTAGCTTATAGCATTATGCAGTTTCACACATGTTGAGTTAGGTTTTTTTGTGGTTTTTTTTTTATTTTTTTCCTTTTTTTCACACAAAGTTTTAACTGTCCAAGTTAATTTTACAATAGAAGACACAAGGTAAAGAATAACCACACCTGGGAGATTTTACAGTGAGTCCGCTGTCACTTACGGTCTATTTTACGTCTTAAAAAATATATATCTGCACATCTTCAGTTTCCTATTATTCCAGAAGAGTGTTGGAGCTACTCCTACCTGCCCGGTAGCCTAAGTCTATTTACCCTGAGCATGTTCCCTTGACAAGAAGTTCATCTTTCCTTTGCAACTAAAGGAATCTTGAGGAGATCATCTAGGCTTAAGCATGCTTTTCACACCAAAGGGAAAAACGGGACCGTTGTGGTGGGTGTTGGGACGCCCTATTCAGGGGGTGGCGCGGTGCTGGAAAGCACGTTGCGAGGAAAAGTCGTGACAGTCGCTGAACTTCAGCAACGCAATTGCTTAGTGCAAAAACTAGGACTGAAAGAGGTGGACACCGATTTCCAAGGGAGAACTCGTTCTCTGGCTTGCGGCTCTGAGCCCCTAATGGAGCACGAGCTAGGAAGAGTGTGAGACAAAGATAAAATCTACTGTAACCTCAGGCAGAAATCCTCACGAGCAGGACTGGTAACGCACAACCGAAGTCCCCACTTCTGGCTGCCCCGCGAGGCTGAGAAAGAGCGAGCTCCAGCCTCTGCGCGACTTCTGTTGCTCAAAAGCCACTGCCTGGAAGGAAGTTCCAGTGAGTGACCAGCTCGGAGCGCGAAAACTCGGCTTTCCAAAAATAATTCCTTAGGCAGAGGTGCCGAAGTGTTGCCGACTAACAAAGTGCTGACTGTTTGCACCGAGGGCCCTCCCAGCAGCCGCTGCTTTAAACGGTGGCTGGAGAGGAAACAGAATTAAGACTTGCTCGATTATTCTACTTTCATCAGTATGAAGGTGAAAAGGATCAATTTTTCAACAGGGCTCTAAAATTCAGCAGTCACGTCCTGTAAGTAGTTAAATGACCTTAAATTTTTTGGATTATAATACATTATTTACATCCCACAGGGCACAGAACAGACTGGCTGCCCGGAAGCAACAAAATGTTTTACGGCAAATTTGTGGTCTTCTACGTGCCTCCCGGCAAGCTCGCGCCTGCTTCATATTTCCAGCGGGGAGTTCAGGAACCACTTCAGTTTCTACACCCTGTTGTAACCGTTCCCGCTCAGTTTACCCACGAGGTTTACAAGCAATTATTTGCTGCCAATTCTCATCCTTGCGTCTGTCCTGGCTGGAATGCGATCAGAGGCCAAACCGGGTGCCTTGCCAGGATGCTACCGCCGTGCACAAACCCCGTCCCAGGCCAGTGTGTCACCACGGGGCCTGAGGCAGCTACTGCCAAGCTGGTTTGTGGAACTTCACCCTACGAACTTCTGTTCACAACTACCGACTCTTCAGGGTTAATAGCCCGAGGTGCTACAGGTCACACCGGCCAAGTAAGCTTTTACACTTCAGAGGTGCCAGGGAGCAGGTCCCAACCCCCAGAGGCATCCACAAGTGAAGCACAAGTTAAGCTGCCCTAAAACTCTGAAAATTAACTTCCTGCCGAGTCTGACACGGTTTGTCGTGACAGGCTCTGCCCCCGTTTACTCCTTTTTCAGAGCTGGCTCTTGGGGAACTACAAGACACCAGACACGATGCAGATTGACTCGGGGGAAGCTCTGTGATTATTCGCCCTTAGAACCTCTTCCCCAAAGGTATTTTCCTGCCGCAGGTGTGTTGCGCCATCGTGGCAGACCTTATCGATCACGCAGGATTTCACGCTTCATATGTTTAAGAGAATCGGCAGGAGGTTCCTCACCGACGAGCGACACGTCCGTTTTGGGGGTTTCACTTGGGCCCTTCAGGCACAGAGAGGGTTAAAGCTGAAACCCAGCGGAGCTCCCCCCGCTCTGGCAGCCTGTGAGATCACCCTGCGCTACCCGCAGACGTTTCAGACGGGAACCTTCGGCGCTGTGACCTCACAGCTCCACAAGCAGCACATCGCAACGGCGAGGCTTCCGGTGCCCGACACCAGAACCGTTTCTTCTCTGAAGGAAAGTGCCTTTTTCCCCTGTGTTTTCCTTTTTTTTTTTTTGCGCTAGTGCAGAATTCTAACCCACCTTTCTATGGAAATGCGGTCGGTTCTCCCAAACTAGCAAAGAACAGAACTGCAAGAACCAAAGGGCAGGCAAACTAACAAGAAACTATAGAGGTTAAACAGCAGAATTCAGAAACTTTGGGAGAAGCCTAATAAAGACAGGCCAGTCGTGGTGAATACCAGCAAAGACAGTTCGGCACAAACACAACTTCCATAGTGACAGATAATCGTATTAAAATCTGCAACTCGATATTGGCAGTTATACTAATTTCAGTTTGTAGTAGGCATGCAATAGCGTGATTACACTGTTACATATAGTCGTGGTATCTTTTTTTTTTTTTCATTTAATGCTCTTTAGAATTTTAGTGCCCTGCAAAATCACATCACTAGAGAACCAATCAGCTGCTGCTTCTTACGAAAGTTTAGTTCTACAGCTACACAAGGTTTAAGTCTGTTCTACGCGTCGGCTGTCGCTGCCGCAACCCCTGCTAGTATTCGCTCAGGCTGTGCCATTTGGCCACCGGCTTCCGAGGGTTCTCACACACCTCTCGCCAGTGTTCCACACCCGCGGCGGTGATGCTGTGCGCCCCCAGAATCAGCCGTCCCACCACTTCGTTTTTCGTGGTGCGGTCGAAATCGATCACTAGGAACTCGATGCTGATGTCGGGAAGGAGATCGACGGGGATATCGTAAATGAAGGACTCGTTGAAGACGGGATTCAAAGTGCACTTCTTCACGTGAGTCTTCTTCTTCGCGATGCGCTTTCTGCCGTAGTAAACGTTCACCTTAACGTAGGGATCTGCTGGAGAAGAGAGAGACATAAACCAATAACACCGCCCGGTAACGGCCGGGGTTCAGCTCAGGTGAATGCCGCGAATCGGGGCCACTTGCCCCAGCTCCCCAGGAGGGGACCCCGCTGGCGCGTTTTCCCACCGCAAAGCAACCGGCTGACAGCGCCGCAGGCTCCTGACGGGTTTCAGCACCGCCTGGGCTTTCGGGGGGAGCGAGTCGCACGTAAATTGCGGTACTTAATCCTGGAAACACCAAACCTTTTCGGCAAGCTCAGTGCCCGACTGGCCCAAACTTTCACTTTTCACTGTCATCTATTTTACCCTGGTTTTATCAGGAAATAGCCCAACAAAGCATCAAAACGGTTTTAATAATTTGCAGACGGAAAACATTTAGTGTCATTTAAAGGCACTGAACAAGAAGAGCGTTTAAAACAAAGCCTTCGCTTTTCCATCAGCCGAACTTCGTTGTTTTATCAGCTTGCTCCTTACATGGTGCTTGTTTAGGATTCAAAGGGAGACACCAGGCACACGGGGGGGTTCACCTAGCGCAAGTGTTGAAGCTGGAAGCCATCTGCCCAGCTGGCGCTGGCTAATTTTAACTTTTTTCATCCAACTGAAATGACGAGCTTATGCATAATATAAAGATCGTACCCAGAAATGACGTTAGCCTTGCAAGATTCAGCAGGCAGAAGAACAGTTACTGAAAAATTGATCCTGTAGTTGGAGATCACGTGGCCTTTTCTTAAAGAACGAGTAACATTTAAGGCCTACAAGGGAGAATCAAACCTAGTCCGCGTCCTTTCCGAGGTGTACAGGACAGAGCTGCAAAACCAGGATTAACGCTGCGATCGGCCAGGCTATTACTGAATTTCAAGTTGATTCCAACTATTTTCCCACAGGAAACTTCGCTAAGGGGGTTCAGGAGCCTGCAAGGTAGGCAAGGCGGAACAGCTGCTCTTCTCGTCAAACAGTGGAACCACAAAACCAGCAAAAACAACAAAAAAGGAAAAAAAAACCCGTTTCTGACGTCGTGTGAATTTATGCCTCTCTATTCTGAGGCCCTCACTCCCCTTTTCTACGCTCGCTCTCTTTTACCCTCCTCGTCTAGGGCAGGGTTGAGGCAGACGCAGCAAGCAGCAGTCTGCCAGGGAAAAACCGCTGCGGAGGGCGGCGCGGGGCCTGCACGGTCTGGCCAAGAGCACCAGGGAGATCTGCCGGGTCTGGAAATCACCGACTTCCAACACAAACCAGGGGTGTCGAGAGACGCCGCTGTCGGTCTCGCGGCAGGACGGACCTGGCCTTGTTTGGGGAACCACCTGCGGGTGAGCGACGGATCGCTCGCGGGGACCCATCGCCCTTCGAAAGCGTTTGAGGGAAAGCGCGCAAACCCATCAGATCTCCAGGTCAGAGGGGGGACGAGATCTGAAAGGGAACTTGGGAGATGTTTTCCTACACGTTTAGAGCTGGAGAAAATAGCTTCTACCTGAGAGGCCAGTGATGTCCATCTTTGGCAAATGTCTGGCTTTCAGCACCACGACGGTCATTCTCTGCGCCGCAGGCTGGTAAGACAAGGAGACCTGCAGCTCCCCTCTGCTGATGCATTTCTGTGAAGGAGAAACAGAAAGAACTTACTAGGACAAGACCTTCTTATAAACAGGGGCAAGTGCTGGAGGTCACCAGAACTGCCTTTCCCTGTGCTCAGCGCCTGAAGTCGGGAAATCAGACGCAGGCCACGGAGAGAAGGGGCACAAGGCAGATCGTCCCGCACCCCGGGAGCGCGGGAAGCGCCCCCACACCTCTCCCCTCGAGATCTGTGAGGGCAAACCTGGCGGGCGCCTTCTGAGAGGACAGCGGCTGCGGCCTGAGGTCTGCTACTAGGGGCGCCCGGGGGTTGGGGGAGCTTAAGTTCCACTGACTTTTGGCGGAGCTTCGATGGACGAGCACCTCAAGCCCTTTAGGTGCGCTCTGGCAGTCTCGCCATCGGTTTAGCCTGCAAAGGTATAGGATGAAGATGAAACCAGATCTACTCAGTTAAACTTGCTGGGTGTCCTTTCGAAGAGTAACACAACGTTAAGATAATCAGCTCTGGTTTCCAGATGGCGTTCATTAACTTTCACTGAGATGGCACTAATTTAGATTAAGTTTATTTGCCATCAAGGCAAACAGTGTTAGCAGCGGGTATGAAATCGTGTGGTGTCAGTCAGGCGCTGCCAGCAGAGCTCCTGCAACAGCCCCAGCAGCTGCCTGCGCAGGGTCTGGGCTCTCAGCGCCTCACCTTCCCCCTGCCCCAGCAGGGGCTGGTGCCGTTAACCCAGCAGAGCAAAGTGTGTGTGTGTGGGGGGTGTCCCCAAATGAAGGAATTTTTCTCACTTCGGTGAAGCACGACGGTAAATGTCCCACTAAACGCCCTGGAGATCACGCAAGAGGTGAAGCTGTTCTTTCAGCCGCTGTCATCCAGCTTGGCGGGAAAAAAACTACGCATGTAACTTAAACATTGTATTCATCGTAATTCTGGTGGGTTTGTTTTTATTTGAGCAGTCCCTGTGTGTTTAAGACAAGTTTTCCAAATGCAAGGAATGAAGGCTACTGCTGCTTGTGCACAATTTTGGGAGGGGAGGAAACAGATGAGCAGGTTCCCCGGAAGGGAAATGTTCAGGACTCTGGCTCCTTGGATACGCCAGAACACAACAGCCAGAGGAGCTCTGGGGGGGTGGATGCCGTGAGTGCTGGGGTTCTTTCGGTCCAAAGTAATTTAATGCACTTACGTCAAAGTCATTTGCGTTCTTAGATTGTCTGTTAGAAATTACTGGGGGTGTCCATTAGGATGGGATGTGCACCTTGGCTGGCTGGCATCAGCGCAGTCATTTATTGGGTTTTCCACACAATTCCGTGTTCCAGAGTTTGAAACCTCCTGACACGGGAGACTTCACTCAGGAACGGCTGTTCCAACACTGTGGAACCAGGCAGATTTTCAGGAACGCACACCTGACACCGAGGTAAATCCATTTCTGATTACTAATAAATGTTAAACAATTTGCATCCTTGATTAAATCTATTTTTATTTAGCATGACCTTTTTCCTCTATTTTTAATCTGTTACTTCTAAGAGATGTGGTCAATGCACTGAAGAGAATATTGAAAGCACCTAAACCAGCCCTTTGTCTCATCATAATGTAAAGCATCTCAAGAACCTAAGAAAATTACCAGAACTCTGTTTTTTTGGGGATTATTTTGGTTTGTTTTCAGTCATTGACGTAAAGTCTCCTTTAAATAAC